CCAATTCCCCATGCAATTCTGCAACAGCCTTCACGCTGTGTTTAACTTAAGGCCCTTCCACTGGAAAGGCACAGAAAATGCACTCCTTATCCTGATGTAAAAGCTGAATATCTACAGCTTAGATAAAGAAAATAAAGTTTATACGTAATTTTGCTGTGGGATTGCTCCTGGAGAAAAGGAGTGAGAAAAGTAACCGATGTTGACAATTGATGCTGTCTTTATTTGATTTTCTCCCAGGAGATTTTCAATTAAATCTTCAACTCATGCAAACTTCTACTATCTGCAGTATCCAATGGTAAGGAATTCCAGCTCAAAGTATGAGGAAGTACAATTATTTTGAATTTTTTCTCTGCTAATTTTTCTAGACACTTCCCCATTCTTGTTTTGGAGGATCCAGTACGTGATCACTCCGTGCTCCATCCATGCCACTCATGGTGACCAACTCCTTGTAGCACAGTCCTTGAGCTTTGCCAGGCTGAGGGCTCCTGATCTTTGTAAGCTTTCTTTCTGCAGAAGCGAATGCACAACTGTCATCATTAGCTGTCTTGCCAAAGGGGCAGGAGGGGGATTGCATAAGATTTAGTCCATAACAAAATTCCAGCCAAGGGAACAGTTTTGCAAAAATCTTTACTCTTGATCCTTCAATCTATACTCATAAAAACTTCAGTATAAAGCTGTGCTAGCTCAGTCATTGTTCTTATTTTGTTTTCCTTGTTGAGAAATAACGAGTGAAAATGACAAAACCTATCAGAACTAAAAGTCTGCTAAAGTGTGCAAGCCTCAAAATGGTTTAAAAGTCAATTTTGGTGGAATATTTGCAGAAAAAAAAATCAATCCAAATGTAATGATTTCATAAGATTAAACACCCTGAGGATTTCATATGTGAGTGTCAACTGAGCCTTAGCTATGCTATGCTCTGGTGCTGTTAACAGCAATTACTGAGGAGAAAAATATTTCTGTAGCTTGTTAATTTTAATAACACATTAATATTTCAAACTATATTATTAATATATATATGCATATAATATAATATTAATGGATAATATTGATATCAATATAGTGATTGTATTAATATTAGTGTATTCTAGAAAATATACAATAATATTATTAATAAATAATTATTAATAAATTTATATTATTCACCTCAAGTGCTGTGTCCAGTTTTGGCCCCTCACTCCAAAAAAGACACTGAAGCCCTGGTGCAGGTTCAAAGAAGGGCAACAAAACTGGTGAGGGGTCTGGAGCACAGCCAGCCTTATGAGGAGCGGCTGAAGGAGCTGGGATTGTTCAGTCTGGGAAGAGGAGGCTCAGGGGAAACCTCACTGCTCTCCATAACTACCTGAAGGGAGGCTGTACAGAGCTGGGGGTCGGCCTCTTCTCTCGAGTAACTGATGATAGGACCAGAGGGAATGGCTTCAAACTGTGCCAGGGGAGGTTTAGGCTGGATGTCAGGAAATACTACTTTTCTGAAAGAGTGGTCAGGCGCTGCAATGGGCTGCCCAGGGAGGTGGTGGAGTCACCGACCCTGGAGGCGTTCAAGGAACGGTTGGATTTTGTGTTGAGGGACGTGGTTTGGTGAGAACTGCTGGTGATGGGCGGATGGTTGGACGGGATGATCTTGTAGGTCTTTTCCAGCCTTGGTGATTCTAAGATTCCATGATTCTATGATTCTAAATCTTCTATGAAACTTGAGCATAATTTAAAAATACATCCAGATTTGCAAAGCGAAGCTGCACTTTGTAAGGTTAGAATTTTTTTTAATTTTCAATATATTTATTGCCAGTTGTCATTTCACTATAGAGGTGTCTTTGGAAATTTCAGATATCTTTTTCCAATAATAAATTAGTAATAATATCCAGCTGAAAAATGCTTAAAGCCTTGAGACTAGCTGCACTGATATAAATAAGCTGTAGTAAAGGAAGATGCAAAAGAAACCAGATAAAGAAATATCACCAATGATAAGCATCAAACTTATAGATTTCACAGCAAATTAATAGCACTTCTAATTCCTATTTTTTAAATAATGATGAGTGCTTTTTCCACTCTGAGTCTAGTGCACTGTTATTTACATTTATAGTGTTCATAAATGATTTTTAAATAGTATTCCTTTGCTTTACTTCCATTCTGCCTTGGCAAAATCCCAACACCTTATCTAGTGCTAGAACACTTATTGATGTGGGTTCTTTCCTCCTAACACTAGATCATTTGCAATTAAAATAAATCAGAGAGTTAAGGCAAGAAAGAGTTAAATATTTTAGGATCATACTGGTTTCTCTTTTTTTTATTCGCTGCTTTCAGAGAAATCAGAGCTGGAGCTGTAAGGCCAGGAACTTGCAGGGCTGTGTGCTGCAGAACAGCTGGGGCCATATGCTGCCCTGTGCCTTGGGTAAGCCTTTCCTTGATGATCCAGCAGCTCATTGACAACCTGTGAACATGCAGTACCAAATACTACTCTCGGTTCATTAATCGGTTTCTTTCAACACTTCTTCCGTCAGTTTTGTATCTCTAGAAAACAGTTTCCTTGGCATGTCATGTTTTTCAGTGCTTCAAGCCTAAGTCAGTGATTTATGAAGCCATCCTCTATTTAAAGTTGAGTAAGTGACCAAAATATAAAGCAGGAAGCATCTCAGTTGACATGGAAACTTGCTCAGGCTAGAAACTAGTATTTTCCACATATCTTTCAAAAATCATAAATATCCAATGTCACGAGCAGTAAATACTCAAATGCTGCTCTTGAGAAAGCATCTGGCATTTTTCTTCCTAATGAAGAGTTTTCTGAATGTTTGGAGCTTAGTCCTCCCTTGGTGGCTGGGAAGGGATTTTCTGCTGTCAGAATCAACTTATCTTTAAGGAGCCCTAGCACTGCTTTGGCTGTAGTCATGGAAATGCATAAAAATTGCAAATTGCAGTTACAGTATGTTTTCTAAGGAAAACCAGAACTAGCAATTCTTATTGGATTTATGATAAGCTAAAAATCGTTTATGAACTTTAATTAAAAAGCAAGAACAGAAAACTAGTACTGCAAAGATAGGCAGTATTTATGCATCTGTTTTCACTGTAAATTTTATAACAAATCAGGAATATGGACCATCATCTGACATTTAGGAGCTGCTTGTGCTAAACATGCTTTGGAATGCAGATGAAAACCTTGCTATTTACTGGCTCTTTACAAAGGTACAAATAAATATATTTTTCCCAATTACATGCTCAAGGCACCACCAGTGATCTTTCCTACATCATCAAAGTGGTGACTTCCAACATGCCTTTTACCATATTTCTAGGCCATTTTTCAGCGCGATTTCCTCATGTCGGATGAAGTATAGCAGATTCCATGGCTTCGAATGGTCTGTGTGATGCACCGAGCTGCGCCTTCTGTTCAGTGCAAGTGTGAAGGGGCAAAAGAGTGAACTCCTGCTCCTTCTGTTTTAGAAGTGGTCTCCTCTACCTTGCCTGGAGTCACAAACCTGTTTCTTTTAGACCTCAAGGGGACACAAGACAAGAGTAATGTTGTGAAGTACTAGCTCACTTGAGCTCAGGTGCTGAATCTAAAAGAAACATTCTTTATTTAAATACTGGATGCTAGCAAAAATCAAATCCAAGTCTAATTCTACACATTTCCACTTCTCTAATTTCCTAACCCATACACAGTAACATCGACCAAACCCCCTCTTTAAATGTGCTGTCTGCCTTTGCATGATTGCCTGTGTGCAGGGTCCATGCTGGCCTAGTTTCATTGTCCCCCTGCGCCTTTTAGGATCAAACAAGCAGTTTTCCTATCAGGAGCGCAGAACACAGGAAAATCATCTACAGAAGCAGAGCAAAGGTAGAAGAATGAATCAACTTTAACTAAAGCCTGTGCTTCCTGGCAAAGAATAACAATGAGAATGTTCCAGAGTACTGCCCTAAAACAGTCAATGAGAGAGAGAACACATTTTGAAGGCAAAAAGTTGCTGTGTGAGCATGAACTGAATTACACATCAACTTAATCTGGTTGTACCCTGAACTGTTGACAAAATTGCAGGGGAAAATGCTTAACTATGATCACTTTCCATGAAAATGCCTTGTAAATTAAACATTATGAAATATTTAGTGTGGTCCTTATCAGTTGGCACATATCCCAAAGAAACTTCTGTTACCTCATTATGGCCATTTGTAATTAAAAATATTTCAGAGAGAAGCTTCACCTCTTCTATCTCCTGCACTCCCCCAGAGTGGAAGAGATCTTTTTTGTGTCACTGGCTGGCTTTGCTTTTTGGAAGGTGTCACACAGAATGTGTTGTCAGCCTTGGGGTAGGAGAAATAAGTGTGTGCAGTTGCTGAAAGGTAGAGATTCCAAGTGTCTTTCTGACGTTTTATATAGATAGCTTCATAGGTTTCTCATTCAAGAGTTATATTCAAGATAAATTTGAACATCAGGGAATATTAACTCTTCTTAATTTAAACAGAAGTTCACTGAATATGAATTAGGAGAGCCTGTGAAGGGGTACTGCTCTGTTTTTGAGATAATAAAATAACAACTGCATGTGAGGAATTTCAGGATATCTGATGATGTTTGTATCATTATCTCTGGGATTTCAGCATTCAGCTAAATACTCATGAAAGGAAACATAAAGAGTTTTCCATATTCTCCTTTACTATGTGCTCCCATTTGGATCAGCACTGAATTGAAAACAAGATTGTCGTGTTATGGTTTTTGACAAAGAAAGCAAATGTGCACATACTGTTCTGGTTATCTAATGGAAAAAGTTTGGAGTTGATGGGCTGTTTTATTCCCTACAGCCCTTACAGCTGTCTCAGAACTTTAGTGCTATCAGATACCACACCCCAAGTTTTGACTTATTAATAAAGTTGATATGAATAATGATAGCATCATACTAAAAACAAATTAACACCAGTTTGAGAAATCTTCATGCTTCATGATATAAATTATGTCTTGGGAAGAGCAGAGTATTGGATCACTCTGTCAGACAGTAGGTGTTATCTTGAAAGTAAAAGCTAATAGGAGGCTTACAGTCTATGATTCACCCTCTGCAGTGTGCAGAAAATTTAGATAGAATTTTGCCAATGATTTCAGAATCATTTGTGTAACCATTGGCTCAAATAAAATGTTTCTCCCCCTTCCTCAATTGCATAATAAGCAAAAGATCAAGAAGTGAAGAAATGCAGATAATATTATTGCTGAGAGTAACGAGTCCCTGAAACAGCTTCTGAGAGACATGATGTTTTCTTCATCTCAAAAGGCAATTAATTAGACAGTGATATCTGCCTGTAGTACGGTCTTAGTCTTAAATGCAGCACCAGTTCTGTTGAGGTCTGTGCAGCAGTTGCTGGATAGATTGTAATGACCTTGGCTGGACTGGAATTTGAGTGTATAATCTAAACAGCTTTTCCTATTTTTAACATTTCTGAAGCAATATGTACCCACAGGAGGTTTACATATTAACAACATTACACAGGAGATGTTTCTCAACTAGTGACATGTAACCCTTAAATGGAGGAATAAAAGGTGATTGACAGTGGAACAGGGAGGAACTATAAATTGTTTCATTCTAAAGCAGAAAAATCTCATCCTCCTCCATCCTCCCACCGCCTCTCTCAAGGTTAAATATTTTCTGTAACCCTCTAAAATCAAGCACAAAAATAACGTTGCCACTTTATCACTTTTATTGGTTGTTCATGAGCTGATTATTTCTTTTATAGCAAAGATTAGGGGACAGAGTCACCAGAAAACTTTACTTTGGAAAAATCCAGCCAATGGAAGAGACGCACAAATATTGCCTTATAGGAAAGCCCCTAAGAAAATAACTAGGACAGAAGTCAGAATTTTTGCATTCTTCCTGGCATATTTGTTCACAGTCTTAATTTAATTAAATGTAATGGTATTCATGAATGATTCTAGTGCTTTCATCTCTGCTATCTCAATCAGATAAGCTTTCCCCTTATCTATAGGCCCATTTGAAAGCAATATTCTAAATAATTTTCCAACATAAATGTCCTTAATTTACACATTGTTCGCTAATGAAGTAAAAATATAATTTGAGTTGAAATAATCTTGCCTCTTGTTGTATTTCTTTTCCTACTCTTCTAAGGAAGGTTTTTATTTGCCTTGTCTTTATAAATCTTCCCATTTGCTCTTCAGATTAACCTTGCTGGTTTTCAGCTCAGGAGGTCATAAAATAACTAGTCTGTTGTACCCATAGCAGGAAGTGCCTGCCAGTTTAGAGGTACTGCAGAGAATTGTCCCTTTGTTTAACAACAGCATTCTGTATAATATGAAATAATTTGTATGCTCAAACTGAATAAGCTTTATTTAGAATTTCTTCTGTTAAGCAGTTTGCTAATTTGCATATCAGTATTACATTAATTAAAAGAAGATTTCTGTCCATTGAGTTAACTTGGGTCATCTGATAGACATTTACTTTTCCCAGGTCTCCTAGCAGAAGACACATCTGGAACATGCAGCATGGTTTGGAAAGACTGGATAAACCTCGAGACATTGATTGCCAAGGTAAGGCACAGCTGTCAGTTCAGCTTCCTACAGCTGCTTGCCAGGATGTCCCAGTACCTGAGCTTCTCCTTGTCTGTAGTTACAACTACAGCACTGTTCCACTCCAACAAAAGCATGGCATTTTCTCTGTTATCGAGCTGTGCACACACATGCAACTCAAGATAATTGTAGTTTACATTAGAACTGTTTGCCTTGTGAGAGAGGGGAATCTACATCCTTGGAAACATTCACACCCTGAGCAGGCATGGCCCTGAACATGTTCTCTCACCTTGAAGCCAGATCTAATGTTGAGGCTAGTCCTGCTTTGAGCTGGGACGAGCTGGTGATATTGGGGATGGCAAGGTTGAACCAGAAATGTACAGAATAGTGATTCTCTAGTGATGGCACTCCATCACTCTAGTGAAGGTATTTGTTCTGAGCACAATATTCACAATTGCTTGTATTTACCAAATATCAGATGAACTGTTTCTGAACTGTATCTGAATACCAAAGAGTTCTTCCACTCTTTCCAACTTTGCGCTTTCTGTGTTAATGGTTATAAGTAGATATCACTTGTTTATGGATTCTGACTTCTAGGAAATGTGCAACAATGAACAGCCCACTGCTCTCTCCTGCCCTTGTCCTCGGATGCCTTTGTTCATATTAGGAATATTTCCTTTTCCCTTTAGCACAGAAGTTTTTCATCCATCACCATACAGCTACTGGAAGAATTTCCCCCTCCTACTTTAGGAGTGATTTTGAGCATTGACATATGACTTATAAAATGTTTTGGATAAGAGTAAAATATGTCCTGCTATTCTTCAGATGCTTCAAATGTTTCCACAGAAATTATGTATTAATTTGCATACAGAGAAAGACCAGAAATAATTTTCATGTTGGAATTAGTGTGCTTGTGTGCACGCCCATTTAACTCAAAATATTATATTAAGCAAAACAGAAGCACTTTAAAGTTGATTGTGGTAATATGTGACAATTAAGGAAGGAAATTTTTTATCTTTCATTGCTTCTGACAAGTGATTTAATGACAAATTATTTGCATAACTTCTTCTTAGATATTGCATTTTACTTAATCTATGTTGTTAAAACTGCCATGCTCTACAATAACTTTGTTTCTTCACTTAATGTAATTATTAAAAATTACCAATTGATCTGATTGCTTATGATGGCTTTTAAGCATAGACAAATACATTGTCTACATCTGCAAATATTTCCTAGCTATTTTCAGGGATGTCTGCTGGTTAAGTATTTAAAAATTGTTTTAAAGGACTAAGAAATGGACAGGACATAGTTCATAAAACTGAAGTGTCATTTGGAGTATGGCACTGTACTTTGCTGATGTTACTTCTCTGTGTCAACAAGAGTTGCTATGAATAATGATTTGGCTGGATTCCTATCCACAATAGGATGAACATTATAAATAGATACAGTGGTTTTTAAAGTATCACTGTCTTTTTTTCTGCTTTATTTATTTATTTATTTTTTCTTTTGAAATATAAGTAATATTCTGTACTGAGGCTCACATCTCAAACTTTTCTATTCTGTAATTTTGTGATGGACAGTGCTCTAGACTCCATTGGGTAAAGAGTGTCACCACTCAAAGATGTGTTATCAGAAATATTAGTTTCATCTTCCAACCAGTGACATGGAATAAAATGTTATTAAACTGGGTCCTTTCTTGTACAGCAGTGTGGAAACTCTCATCTTCTTAGTCTTCATAGTTTAGCTCTCCATTTATAGCAGTCCCTTGGAGTGCGACCACTGCAGCAACCAGAGGGAGCTCTGCAGCCCACTGGGGAAATCTCTGTTCTTCAGAAATGTGCTACCTCTGCTGTATGGAGATCTATGCTCAGCACAAAGAAAATTACAGCTTCGGCTTTTGGCTTTTCTTCTACCATCTATCACAAGTTCTTGGGTGGTCCGGTTCAGTAAGTGCATCCATCTACCAAATAACCATTCTGGTAGAAACCAACTGCAATGCTTGAAAAGAATTTTCTCTTCCAATGCAGATTGTTTAAAAATCAGCAGCTTTAGTGTTTCCTCTGTTGCTTTTCTTCTGCTGGAAGAGTGTGTTGCAATAATAAAAGCTACAACAGAGGATTTACACTATACTCATCTCTTGTACCTTAGCTGAGCTTTAGGAAGATCCAGGGTCTTCGATTGTGTTCACAGGCATGGCTTTATTGGGGAGAGATTCAGGAAATGCCATCACTCTATGAGAACTTCCTAGAGCAGCTCAACCTCCCTCATCACTGTGCAGAGAACTGCAGGGGTACAAAATTCAGTGCTGCCTGCCTCTATCCCATGGTTGCTCACAATGAACACGCTGGCTGATCCCTGCTGGCTGAAGCTATATGAGGCAAAGTTGAGGCTGAGATGCAGTATCTCCCTTTTCTCCAGCCTGATTTGTCTGTCACCCTTATTCTAAATTTAACCTACACATTTATGAAATGCGAAGGGAAGAATCTGAAATGCTGGTTAGTTAAATTAAGCAATGGAATATCTTGTGTTTATTTTTTATTTGAAAAAGTGGATTTTATTTTCCATACACTGTAGGTCTGCTTTTGGAACCCTGCTGGTAATGTGCGTGTTTTTGAAAACTTTGTGAACAAGTAAATGTTATCCATGCATAGATTGACCTTTGGCATAGCTTCTGACCCTTTCATGGTTATTTTTGGCAAGAAAGTTCTGTAGAATAATAAGCAGTGGGACTGACAAGTAGTCTTTGGGCTGACGGGATAGAGGAGAGCCATGCTCTGGGCTGATAAGGCTCTCTCAGAAGGCTTTCCCCAAGGGAGGCCTTTCTCATCTCCAGGCTGCACTTTGCTGTCTGTCACCTCCTGTGAGCTGAACCCAAGAGGCAGCTCTGAAGCACCTTTGAACCTCCGCCTGTCAAAGGCAACAGGCTCTCCGTTTTTCTTGTGGTTTCTTCCAAGAGTGACACCTGCCAGATTCAGAAGGCAATGACGTGCTGCTTTTCAACATCCCAGCACTTGGTCTGGTGCGTCTGAGCCAAAACATATATTTACTTAGAATCACAGATGCCTCCTATCTTTGTTTAACAGCTAAATCAGCCTATAATGAAGTCTGTAGTCCCAGAAGACCTGGAAAGAAGTTTTGTGAGATGTTTGTTAGGAATAGCACAGTATGGAGAAGTATCTGATGAACTCAGCTAATCTTTGGCCTGTGTAATTTTCTGTCTCATCGGGAATAACATCAGTACATAAACGCTTTACATTGGACTCCTTGCCTGCTGCAAACGCCCTCTTTAAGAAGAATTTATCATGAGCTTCCTGTACTAAAGGGATGTTGGAAGCAGATGTTTATGGTAGAATTCATCTCCTCTAATTTGAGGTACTTTCGCTCTGAACTCCTTGTCCAGATTAGCCCTACTGAGAAGGTAGCAGCCTTATGGGATAATTCCTCTCCTCCTAAAGTAGAAGTCTAAGATATTGAATGGATTGCCCTATAGGAGTGCCAGTTTCTTCCTGCTGTAACTTACAGTGGTCTAGACAGCTAGCCTAGATGCTGATATTTGTTGGCTTTATGTACAGATCAGATGAAGGCGCTTTCCCTGCAGAGATATCCCCACTGTTACTGGTGGAACCAAGCACCTGAGAATTCAACCTCTTTAAGCTCAGAAGTCAGCCCTGTAGGACTTTTTCCTCCAAATCTCTGAAATGTAGGAAATTTTTCAATTTTCAAAAAAGCAGCTCTTCCATTAAGCTACTATTTAATACTATATCTAAAACTGACAAGCCACAATTAAGTAAATTTCTTTGAAAACTGTATTTGTGAAAGTGCTTTTTAGTATAATGACAGTGCATTTTCTCCATCGTATTATTTTAATTAGAATTTTTATTCAGTCCAACTTTTGATGTTAAAACCATAACTTTTCTGACAAAATAATGCCTTATCTACAGGTATTTTTTAGTTCTTTACTGTGTTTTTAGTGAGTAAAGCTGCCTACTTTCACTCTTTTAATACAAGAAACATTTTGCAGATTGGCTAAGAAGGCCTGTCAGCTGTACAGAAATAGCCTTGCAGTTGCTTAGAATGTGATTAAAGGAAATTAATTCTGGACAAAATGCTGGTTTAAATCCTGAGATCTTAAGCCCTTGCCATCTTACCTGGTGCAGCATTCTGCAGATATCACCCTTTAATGACGTATCTTTGGGCTTCTGCACTATTTCCATCATTCTTTGTCTTGGGACTTACACATTTTTACTTTTATTTTATTAGAAAAAATATGATGTCCAGAGCTTGTTGAAAGAATGAAGGTGATAAATATTCCTCCTTGCCTCATAACACTGATGTCCCTGCTTCTGATGGATTTATAGGAGAGGTGAGAGAAAGTATAACGCTATCCAAATGAGTTCTTAGAATAGCTTTATGATTCTGCATTAGCAACTATATAACGAGACTTGTGAAATAGTCTGTCACAATTCCAGTGTGTAACTCCTGAAAGCCACACGTTTCTGTTGCTTTGAAAGTTAAAAAATCGAGGTTAAGTCATCATACTCATTAACCAGTATCCAAACCTGCAAACAGTTCTGCGGATTTCGAAAGAGTAATGTCTTTTGTGGAGTGCTATTGAAATGATCAAGAAAAGTTTTATGCAGCCAAGTGCTCAAAATGATTTCACTAGAAAAGAAAAAGAAGAAGGAGGTGAACTTTTCTAGGTAATTTCTACTTGTTGTCCATACAATACTACAAACATTTCCTGTTAATAGCAATTCTAGTGACAGATTCTGAAATCAAAATGATGAAATTCAGTCTCTGCTGAAAGGAAATCCCATCCCTTTTGCAAGTTTCACTACCTATGTGAAGGACAGATATTTTGGGATTCGTGAAGTGGGGCCATACAGATTCAAGTGCACTTCACTTTGCCACTGTGAGAGCTTTCCATGGAGAGCATTTGTTTGTGTCCTTCCCATCCCACACATTCTACATCCATCATCACCAATCCTAACCCATAGCACACCACAGAGCACAGCGTTTTT